AAAAAAAAAAAACAAAAAAAAAAAAAAACACAATGCTCAGTGCCTCAGGCCAGAACGCTGAGTCCCTGAGTCCCTGAGGCCAGAGGCCTAGGGGTCCTTTGCCGTGAAACTGGGCAAAACGCGGTATTCTTGCTGGCAAACTATGAGAACGCGGTATTTTTGCTGGCAAACTATAGGAACGCGATAAAGCTTCAACGAAACCTCTAACGAAACCTCTATTTTTGCGAAGGAAACTTCGAACGGACGACATTTTTGCTGCCAAACTTCGAAACAGCAATATTTTTGCTATTAACCCTTTTGAAATGGGTTAACAAAAGACACGATCCTAAACGAAGTGAGTGGACCATATGGTGCAATGGATTCCATTTCTTTTTCTTTTTTTTTTCTAATTTTTGCAATAGGTTGCTGCCATGTGTTCAAGGAATTATTCTAGCAGGTCACCAACACTCCCTTTCCCCTTCCCTGCCATGTGTTCAATAGGTGAGTCGACGGATTACCTCCGCGGGATCGTGACTGCCGACGTGGTAGTGTGAAGTTCGGTCTGACGCTTTTGATAACTCTACCGTCTTTTCACTCGAATAGAACGCCCGGTCGTTATCACTGCATCTGGACTGAAAGTTGTGCCAAATGCAGCTGTAATGACCTGGCATTCTATTCGGGCCAAGATGGTAGTTGACCTTTACGGCTGTCCTGAAACTCTAGATGTAAAGCTGACAGTTTTGGACAAGTTAGGCTGTGTGAAGAAGCAAATAAGAAAGAGAGGCTGATTAATTAAGATCAAAGGAAGTAGTAAAGGTAAGTATGCTAATGTCATCGACCAAATAAATACACGCAAATAGTTGCAAACTCCATTCGGTGCGTTCTATTTGGGGTAGTAGTCGCCACATTTACATTCAGATTTTGTGTCAGCCCGTGGATCCTGATGTCGGTGCGTCGTGGTCATGCAATCGGGGTAGTAGCTGCTGATAGAGATGTGCATTGGACTTAGCACATACGACTTAGCACGTACACCAGACATATAGGAAGGAGGTAGTAGTTGCTGAATGAAGAGGTGCATGGGACTCGTCAGAGTCAGCACGTACGACTTAGCTTGTACACAAAAGGACTAATTAACACAACGTAAACAAAGCACGACTTAGCACAACGTAGTCAAACTGTCAAAGTGCGATTTAGCACAACGTAGACAAAGTACGATTAGCACAACGTAGACAAAGTACGACTTAGCGCAACGTAGACAAAGTACGACTTGGCACAACGTAGTCAAAGTACGACGTAGCACAACGTAGCCAAAAGTATGACTTGGCACAACGTAGACAAAGTACGACTTGGCACAGCGTAGACAAAGTACGACTTAGCATGTACACCAGGAAAATAGGACTTAGGATGCAAGGCTCAGATCATTCAGACACAAAACACTACTTGGCACGTTGACAAAGTACGACTTAGCACGGACACAAAGCACGACTTAGCACGACGTACACAAAGGACCACTTAGCATGTACACCAGGCAAATAGTACTTAGCAGGTAAGACTCATATCATTCAACACTTACGGCTCAGCATCTACGACTCACTACCGGTAGTACAATGTAGCACATGCGCTAGCACATACATGCATACATACATACATACATTATACATACATACATACATACATACATACATACATACATACAATCATGCATGTAGACATACATACATACATACATACATACATACATACATACATATATGCGATCATGCATGCATACATACATACATACATACATACATACATACATACATACTACATACATACTACATACATACGTACATACATACATACAAACATCCATAAATTATTTTAATTTATTTATCTACGTTGATTATTTACATTACTTTCTGTATGTTACGTTACGTTAGGTTTTTTTTTTGTGTGTGTGGGGGGGTGTGGGGGAAGTTATTTCTACTCAACTGGCTCTGTTGGAATTCGAACACAGGTCTGTGTTTCGTCAGTTCATGCGTGTACCAACTGCGCTAGGCCAGTTGGTGTTTTTTGGTAAATTTTAGGGTAGCTTTTGGTAAGTTTTTATGTACGTATATTATACATAGTTTCTAGTAGGTTTTAAATACTTACATGACACTTATATATACTTTCTTAAATTACAACTTAGCACGTAGCGTTGATTAAATTTGCTGTTGATTTGCGGTTGATTTGCTGTGGATTTGCTTTTGATTTGGTGTGGATTCACTGGGTTGCCCGCTGATGAGCCTGTGCAGCAGGTGCAGCTCGTAGGGGAGTGCTGATGAGCCTGCTCAGCTCTGTTTGGTCTCTCCACGTTGACATGCTGCTGGAGCAGGCTCGCCGCTTTGTGTTGGCCTTCTAGTTTTTCGAACCGTTTAGGAACTCTCTTGGAATGGTCTTCATTTCTTGCAAAAAAAGGGGGGGGGAAAAGAATGGTCTTCGTTTCGTGCACTTCGTGACTTCGATGAACGAGAACCATTAAGTAATCCTTACGTGGCAAAGATCTAGAGACTCTCAAAAAACTAGTTTGAAATTCTTCGTTGTTACAACATTGCCTACTTTATTACCTTTAATTCATTTCCGTACTTCATATCAAACTGGACTAAGCTACATCCAATAATTCATCTCACGCAGGTACTATGGGCCCAGCTATGGTTGTCCTTCTCCCACTCCTCTTTCTCCTCCATGCCCTCGCCCGTGTTTCTGTCCTTCACCCGCGTCCCTCCTCATCCACCAGACAACCTCCAACTCACTCTCCTCCTTGTGGTGCTCCTTGTCCTTGAACTCTTCTGCCTCCTCCTCCTCCTCCTCCTCCTCCTCCCCCTCCTCCTCCCCCTCCTCCTTGGAACAGCATACTGTGCGTTGAAGAAGATGATCAGATGCCACCCCATGCCCACCACACTTCCTTGTCCGCTTCGGCAATAAGCGCTTTCCCCCCCCCGCTTCCCCCCGGGTTGCTTCTGTCCTTTCTCGTCTTATCACCCCCAGGACGGCTTCTGACTGGTGCCAGGGCAGCTTACTGTAGTTCCTGTCCTTGGCAGTTCCAGTTGGCCTAGGCTCGCCCTAGCCCCATACTAGGTACTACTTTGTATGATTGGCTGGGACTGGGCCAGGTAAGGGAGCTTGCAAACTTGTGCTAAGCAGTAAATTCCTCTGGGCAAAGTGTCAAACGGGATTGCCAAGACCATGCCTTGGGAAAATGAGGATGGAAAAACAGTGAATGAGTGGAAACTTGCTGGAAAGTCGGAAACATGATTGTTGGATTTCTCTTTTTCTCAAAGGAATGAACTGTCACAAGAAAGGTTAAACCACCAGTACTTCTGAAAGCCACCGCGACATGCGCACTGCCACGTGCGGGGATGAATGGCCTCGGCCCTCGGCCCTCGGGCGCTGGTATAAATTCATTGAAGTGGAAATGGTGTGGCACTGTAGCAAGGGCTGGCATAAATTCATTCAGGTTGAAATGGTCACGGTGTGGCAAGGGCTGGCCCCATGTCCGCTGCAACTTCCGGACTCCGGAGTACTGGTGGTTTAATGATTCAGAATGTCTTCCTTTCTGTCTCCTGCCTTCCCTGAAGGCTTCCTCATCTTTTCCGGTTGTTCAATACTTAGCCTCGTGAGAGTTGTCCATTGACTCTATTCAATTTTGGTATCACCTTGAGGCTTGAGGGTACCATCATCAGTATGGCATGCCGCACTGTCTACTGCTAAATGGATTGGCCCAACTGCGGAGTCAATGGGTCATTTATGGTAGGTTATTTATGGATACTGACATTCCTCGTTGTCTGTGTGTGTGTGTGTGTGTGTGTGTGTGTGTGTGTGTGTGTGTGTGTGTGTGTGTGTGTGTGCGTTTCATTGGATTTAATGGGGCAAATCGTACCAATGGATGGGCTCAGAGCGACAAAACTCATGTGGCGACCACGATGGCAGGCGATCGATGCACCCACTCAGAGCTGGAAAAGGAGGAGGAGGAGAAATGGTGGAGTGCGATGAGAGGGCGAAGATGGAAATGCAGCACTTTGCTGAGGAGCATAGCTTGCTGACTGATATGGAGATGGACAGAAAGCGTTTGCGAAGGTATGGGAACATGACTCTATGAACCTTCAAGTTCCTTACTTATCACCCTTGTAGTTACTCCAAGACCTGCGGTGCAGACTTCTGGCCGGACAGATTTGACCTTTTGTTTTTGAAACAAGTCCCGGACTGGCAGTGTCACCCTTTCAGTTTCGAAAGGGCCGAACAAACATGTGCGGGCAACAGAATCGGGTGCGGAGTTTGAAAGGGGCGATATCGGTGAAATTGGCTGTGGCCTGCGTGTGATTTTGTTGCCCTTTTCAGACTCTGCGCACAGCTAAAAATGCTTTTGTTGCCCTTTCAAACTCGGTGCGCGAGTTTGTTGCCCGCACGTGCTAATTTTGTTGCCCTTTTCAAACTCGTTTGTGCCACAAGGCCCACAACTGAACTTGCCCCTTTTTTTTCTCAATAAAAAACACCTCCTGAGCCTGCTAGGTGTGGTGATGGTGATAAGAGCCCCCACTCCTGAGTCCCAACCGCTTCTGCAAGTGACTTCACTGACTCCAGTCTATTGGTGGGGACCACTGGGGAGTGGCACCTGCTGGAAAGCGGGTCCAGCGTCCCATTTTCAAGTATCATGATTAGAAGAAAATCATCTTGAACATCGTGTCCATAGGTTGGAGCCCGCGTCTTCAGTGCATTCTGGACCGTCAGATTTCCAAACTGCTCTAGCAGCCCCAACCCTTGCATGAAATAAGTAAGTCTTAGAGAGAATTTCTCCCGTCCTGCCAGATTCCGGTACCTTCCCATGGCCAATTTGAGTTCTTCTTGCAGATTGTGTGGAAATCCTAAGAACAGTGTGAGTTATCATCTTGGAAGCCATCAGAAAATCTTGGAGTTTGACAAAAGATGGGAACTTGGGAAGTGGTTCAAATGGACAGCCAGATGCATCTGGTAGTAGCTGGCGGATCATGTGGCGGTTCACTTTTGCCTCGAGTCTTGTTTTTGATAGAGGAGAAAGAACTACGATTTCGTCAAAACTGAGATTTTGTTTTCATTGAATGAAGTTGGGCTCCTATGAAAAGCCTGGAAAAGTGCCAAAAATTCTCTTCTGAGGGTCTGCTGTACCCTCTCAAAAGTCGGATGTATCTGGACTGAATGCAATGAAGAGCCCCCTGGACCCTCAGAAGAGAAATTTGGGCATCTTTTTGGGATTTCGAACAACGAAGCCCAATAATTATTTGTTCAACAAAAAAAAAAAGCTCCTTTTTTACCGAATCATCCTAATGGCAGTTAAAGGCGGAAAGCCCTGAACATGACCAGACCCGGCATACCGTGCCGGATTCAAACTCTTGACCTGTTCCCTCTGGTCCTGTTGGCATTAGCATACTAGTGGTTTCGGTGTTGCGGTCAGCCACTTCAACCCAGTTGCCATTAGCTAACTGTATGTGAGCAGGCCTGAGGCCAAGATGGTCTTTCTGACACAAGTGTAGCTGCCGTTCTAATTTTAGCCTGCCTGATTTGCATCATTATAACTCCTCGGCGAGTCCTCGCTAGCGCGACTCTGCGCGAGCCCAATCATTAATGTGGTTCATCACAATGTGCATACAGTCACACAGCTGTCTACTTAGTCGGTGCGCATGCACACAGGGTAGTTGTGAGACACTCCGGCTGCTCTTTGCGCCTGGGCAGTAGTGCTTTGTGTCCGGGTGTAGCATGCGTGGTTTCTAGCCTTAGACAAGGCCATGAATGTAGCGATAAGCAAACTATGAATACATGCCTCTGCCTTGCCTGACCTGAGGTTCAGGAGTGGCCAGCAGGGAGTCTGTTTTTGTTGCTGTGGCCAGCCAGGGGCTTTGTCTATCGACACAATTTGAAAGAGCTTAGAGCACTGCATGTGCTGTGGGTGTGACACAGAGTACCACATGTCCCACAGTTCCCATAGACTGTGCCTTCCGGACCACAGAGTATGCAGCTTGCCTGCCACCGAGTGATTTAGGTAGAAATACGCCGGGTGTCGCACCTACTCTACAGTCACAGGCTGGGCGGCACCCTTGATGGTGTACTTGTGTTCCTAAATGAGGTTGGGTGACAATGGGTGTAATTCCGGGGTTGTATACATCCAGAAAGTCCTGGTGTGAGTATACCCTTGGAGATGCTGCACCATCTGCACGGTGTGTAGATTTCCACAAGACCTGGTTCTCTCTCTCTCTCTCTCTCTCTCTCTCTCTCTCTCTCTCTCTCTCTCTCTCTCTCTCTCTCTCTCTCTCTCTCTCTCTCTCTCTCTCTCTCTCTCTCTCTCTCTGTGTGTGTGTGCGTGTGTGTGTGACGATATATGGTTATATTGTCACATATCTATCAACTAAAAGAGCGCAATTTGTGAAACAAATGCTGAAAATACAGAAGACAAAACATGAAGAGCAAAATGAAACTGTTATACATACATATGTATATGCCAGTATATGGACATGTGGTCACATCCCCTGTCTCTTGTCCTTTTTTCCCTTTCTTTCTACAGACCAGGGAGTTCTCAATGACTATAGCCTCCTGACGACTGTGATGAGTCGGTGAAACTCCGACAAAACAGTTTGTCACAGCCCCTCAGTTGTTGCCCTCTGCTCCCTCTCTGCCTACGGTTTACCGGGCAGCTCTGTTTGACGATATATGCATAATGTATTTATAAATAATAAACATATATACGACGTAATGTATATATGTATAATACTGTAATGTGTGTGTATAATACTATACATATACATACTGTTTGACGATATATATAATACAGTATTAATACTATATATATATTCAGCCTCCTGATGAGTCGGTGAAACTCCGACGAAACAGTTTGTCACAGCCCCTCGTTTGTTGTCCTCTTCTCTCTCTCTGCCTACGGTTTTACCGGGCAGTTCTGTTTGTGACGATATATATCATCAAACAGAACTGCCCGGTACGATATATATAAATACCCCAATGGCTACTCGCTTACCAAAGGTATCTGTTGTGCACTTAATATGGCAATTGTGATGTTCGCGAAGATTTTGGAGGAAGTGGTGACCTTGTATACTTCATTATATATCTTCCCTGCAATCTCTCTGCCACTGCGATTCCGATTGTCAGATGTTTACCAAAGGCATCTGTGATGTGCATAGCCGCGGCTGCTGCGATGTTGTCCGGGGCTTTTCTGGAGAAAGGGGACTCCATAATGATTCTCCACTGGCATTGTGTGCCACCGCTGTTTTCCTTTCTTTGCTCGAAGTCTAGAATGCCCAAAAGAGAATCTTTAGTCTATATGGCTCAAAGGAGCCTCTTCAACCCCTAGGGCAGTCACCAGTGAGTTTATTGTGCACCACTGCTCATGCCAACTGAAAATAATAATACTTCACTGACCATCCAAGGCCTCCGCTGGTGCAGGAGGCGGCCACAATTTGGATGTGCTGGTCCCCCTATAACCCCCTATAACCAGTGACCCTCGTTTGTTGGCTAGAGTGAGCAGAATGTCTCCATATACTGGTGAGGTGATGCTCCCCACCAATAGATGGTGCCAAAAAAAAAAAAAAAAAAAAAAAAAAGTTTGTTGGTCCAACCATTCCACGAGTCCATGGTCCTGAAAAACGGACTAATGTTCTCTCTCCAACAGTAACTCCTTAAAATTGAAGTGAACTTTACCAGTAAGACTTTGTGTATGTCACAGACACAGTGTGTGTGTGTGTGTGTGTTGGGGGGGGGGGGGGGGGGGGGGGGGGGGGGGGGGGGGGGGGGGGGGGGGGGGGAGAGAGAGAGAGAGAGAGAGAGAGAGAGAGAGAGAGAGATCTTTTCCCCAACATAGCGCTTCTTGAATCCTGATAGTTAATGTACACAAGGCACCAGATTCTTTCCGGTTCAGTACAGTGACTACAGTCACAATGAGGGTGCATTGTGTTCTGGGGAGGACGGTAGGTGTTGTAGGGAAACATCTACCTGTTCTTCACCGTCCGACTCCCAGTAGAACTTGAATGGCACCTTCAACGTCTCCAAGTCCATAGAGGTGATTCCTCTCCTAGACCACCTCAGCAAGGTGATTAGAACAGTCCCGCCTCTCCTCCCTTCAAACATCCCCTGCAGTGTCTGAACGCAGACATAGCATGCACAATTTGCTACGGAGGAAGTTATGATGAATGTGTGGCATTGCTCTCCTGAAGTGAGCCACCTCCGATTGTCCTTGCCTGTATCTGGCACGAATGCATCTGTAACGTTTCCTAGAGCTTCGCAGTGTTCGGCCATGCTTCACGCTTCGTGACAGCACAGACAACCGCCTTTCTCGTGCGCATACTCGCCGCCTCTTCCAGATGGCCGCAAGCAGTTTGTCTGCCATGGTTGCTTTTTCCAGGGCATGGTCTGAGACTCTGAGTCAGGCTCAGTCAGCTGCTGGAAAACGACTGCTGCTTCCAATGAAATTTCTACGCCTTGTACGTTTGGTTTACCCTCAGTCTCCTCAGACTGTCATCATCCACACGTTCAATCAACTGCATTCCTGCAACATTAGCCGGGAATGTTGCTCTAACCCCTAGCCCCTGGCACCCTGCTTTCCACAAATTCTCATGCTTTTCTTTTCCCTGCCCTTGCCGGTTTCCTGTCTGGTCTCCTTCTTCTCAGTGGGGTGCAAGTGTGCTCCTAGAAAACAGAGGATTGATTGTGTGAGCAGTTGCTGAGCAATTGCACCAGCATGGCAACCTTTTACGGTTGTAATTGGTCCTAGTCTGGTAAGAGACAAAAAGAGATTATAAAGTAAAAGAAAAGGTAAGGAAGGAGAAGAAGAAAAAAGGAAATGCAAGGGTGGACTGCCTCTCTCTCTCTCTCTCTCTCTGTGCAATTGTGCTGGTTTGTAGCTCAGCAGCAATATAAATATGTAAACAGAGGGATCTCGTGGAAGTGGTCGATGTCCATTGGGATCATCAAGTCTTTGGGAAATCCTGTGGAGGGGGGTGTCAAGATTTCCTTCCTGGTCCAGTACAGTCATACTGAGGGTGTGTTGTGTTGGGGAAAAGACGGTAGGCAGGTTTTGTCAGGCAGGAAGATGCCAGCGC